GACACGACGGGCGCCGCTTTGCCTAATAGTGAAGTGCTACGGTTTTATCTCCGATATTTTGAAGTCGCCCTGGAGCTTGCCGAGCAATTTCCAATGACCCAGCAAGCTGACAATCGTAGCCTTCTACGACAACAATTAGCGTTGGTCGAGAGCTTGAACCGGGAGAACGCCGAAGGAGGCCCTCTGATGTGTGACGATGTAAAGGAGCCGAAGAAAATCTGTGAGAGTTGTTCGCTAGAGGCCGAGATTGAAATGTTCTTCCGGTGCAAAGAGTGCCACCTGACGATTTGCGCGCTATGTTGTGTGAAGTTTCACAAACTTCACGACACACCGGAAATTACAAAAGTCGAATTGGTCGAAATGGCTGAGAAAGCGGCTGCCGAATTAAAAGGGCTTTATGAGGGATATGCCGGCAATTTTTCTGGATTACAAATCTGCAGCCAATCAGCCTTTACTTCGCTTATAGCTGCCGAAGAAAAAGCGTTAAGTTTGATTGCCCAGCAGGAAACTTATGAAAAAGGAAAGGCGGTCGTTGCTGAAATCAGGAAAACATCAAAGGAGATTGAAGCGGAATGTGAGAAACATATTCCGGTGATCCGAATCTTCAATGATAGGCTGATCGACGCCAAGGAGAAACTGGAAAAGCTTTCTGTCGTCTTTGTGTCAGAATAAATGGGTTATTTATGCTATATTTTTGAGCGAATGTGCACTCACATACGGTACACATAGGATAACGGGAATAACGGGGGGCACTCAAACTTTTTTATGATAAAAGTGGTTTTAAATATGCTTTTTTTGGGCTGTAGAAAAAGCTCTTAGTATATTTTTCGGCCCTCTATCGAATGGCATTTTCAAAATCTCGAAAATATTCAAAACGCCGAAAATTTCCCCCCCCCCTCGTTATCCTATGTGCTGCCCATAGTTTTCAAAAATAGATTTTAGGCTATAAAACTTTTATAATACATTTTTCGTGTTGTAAAAAAATCTCTTAGTATAATTTTTGATGTGCTATCGATCCGCGTTTTTAAAATATCAAAAATCTCAAAAATTTGGCTTCCCCCCACCCCGTTATCCTATGTGCTGCCCATAGATTTTGATCATTTTTTGTTTATTCGATAAAAAATTTCATTTACATTATTTCGAGCTGAAATTAATTTTCCTAGGGCAGTTTTCAACGTTTTATCGAATGACGTTTTCAAAAAACCGAAAATTTCGAAAATTTCGAAAATTTGACTTCCCCCCCCCCGTTATTCTATGTATGTGCTGCCCATAGATTTTCCTCAATTTTTGTTTATTCAATAAAAAATTTCCATTACATTATTTCGGGCTGAAATTAATTCTCTTAGTATATTTTTCGACGCTCTATCGAATGGCGCTCGCAAAATCCCACAGTAATTGCAAATTTCTTAATAATGAGTGCGCCGCCCCCGTTATTTTATCCCCCCGTTATCCTATGTGTACCGATTTATTCATTGGTTCCCAATAATCCCAGACGATCTAAAACGAGTGTGAGGCCTACATCCCAGTTACCAGAATCTTCAATGACAAGCTGGCGGACGCGAGGGAAAAGCTTGGAAAATGATCAGTTGAGATCGCGCGTCAATAAAGCTTTCGTTACGTACAATAAATGAAAATCGTTGGAATCCCAAACACGTAGTTTCACAGTTCTATTTCTAAAGTAACGTATCGACATGGTGTTGGCCAGCCATAAGAGGCACCGCATTGCGTTCGGCGCGCTCTATATTGATTCTCTAGCAGCTTGCGCTGAAAGAGTTTGTTCGCAACGGAAAACGGCTTATCAATGCCGCTTCTTTTTTTGAATCCGTGGCAGGAGAAATTTCTGAGCATTTTGGGTCTCCTTGAGATTAATTACGTTTCGAAAATGCTGTGCTGGTTTGGTTTGTACGTGCCTTACCTAGCTTTTACTGGGACGAAATGTGCCTTTTATTTTTCCTATTTCCATTAAAGATGGCCAACCCGACATTTTTTTAGATGACGGCCGAGGGAGAAGCGTTATTTATGAATTGCCCAAAGTGCGGGAGGGAGTATGGAAGCCGTGAGGAAACGTGGCCATTCTACCATTCCGATCAGCGTCTGGGCTGCCCGAACTGCCTAGGCAAAAGGGACGATGCGTGGCCAAACTTCCTGACAAGGGCCAAAAGAGGAGCTGAAAAGCCCGGAAGGCAAGGCTGGACAGTTGATCCATTACAATTATCCGCTCTTGACTGCAGCTTTTGTCAAAATTCAAGAAACTTGGAATACATCTTCACGTGTGGCCATCGCGCTTGCCGAGACTGCAGACCAACTGGGAAAAATCTAAACTGCAAAAAATGCAAAATCGCGGGCCCCGCGTTGACGAATAGTGAAGTCTTCCGATTCTACCTGCGGTATTTTGAAGTCGCCCTGGAGCTTGCGGACGAGTTCCCGAACATACAACAAGCTGATAATCGCAGCTTTCTGCGCCAACAGCTGGGGTTGATCGAACGTTGGAATCGAGAAAACGTGGAAGGATGCGCCTTGCCAAATGAAGAGCCAAAGAGAATATGCGAGAAATGCTCACTAGAAGCCGAGATTGAGATGTTTTTCCGCTGCAATGACTGTCAGCTTACCATTTGCGGAGCCTGCGGCATGAAATGGCATAAAGCTCACGATGCCCCGGCGCTTCTGACGAGCGAATTGGAAAAAATGGGAGAAGAGATCGCGTCTGAAATCAACGGATTGTACGAGGGGTATGCCGGTAATTTCGCCGGACTACAGCTATGCACGCAATCAGCATTTAAGGCGCTTATGGCTGCAGAAGAAAAAGCATTGGCCCTGGTCGCCAAACAAGAAACTTACGCAAAAGGTCGTGAGGTTGCCGCCGAAATCACGAAACCTCCAAGGACATTGAGGCCGAATGTGAGAAACATATTCCAGTGCTACGAATCTTTAATGACAAGTTGCTAGACGCCAAAGAAAAATTAGAAAAGCTTTCTATTGATCTTGCTGCTGAATAAAGTTTTTTTTTGTTTTACTGTTAAAAATGCACAAAAAATAACACTTGCACAAATCAAAGCACTTTTTAGGATATTTAGCAAACACTCCTTTTCTTTGGCCATTTTGTGGAAGGGCTTTTAGCCTCAATTTTTATGTTAAAACCCAAAATTAATTAGAAAATAATTGGGAGCCGATTGATCGAGCCCATGCATTGACCACTAAAAAGATTACACACCGAAAAAGAGGGCTTATCAGAGCCAGATCTGCTAGCCTCATTCCTTTCCTCTTTCGACCCGGCATTTTCAAGGTCACCATTTTTTGCGCTTTTTTTTCCGCGATTTAAATGAAAACTTGACTAGTTACATACATTATTCTAAGTCGCCATTAAATCTACCTATTTGTATGTTTCTTAGCTCCTTTACCCGTTGAATATTTTGACCATCCCAAGGTTTTATTAATTTTGAAGTTTCCTCGTCCCCCCACCCTCCTCTGTTCGCTACAAAATATAGATAGTAATTTCAGATGGCCGCTCCTGTAAAAGTCACATTCATGCAGTGTTCGCAATGTGGAGTCGAGTACGGAAATGTCCGCGATACAATCCCCTGTTTTGCTGAAGACAAGTTAGGATGCGGCAAGTGCTTAGAATGGCATGGCAAGTCTTGGCCATACTTTATCGACGAGGTGAAAGAATCGGGTGTCTGCAAAACACTCGAGCTCGGCTGGACCGTTAGCGGAAACCAGTTGAAGCCGCTTGGGTGCAATATTTGCAAGACGGCGCCCGAGATACAACACGTGTTTCGATGTGGACATCGCGCATGTCACGAATGCAAACCGTCGGAGGAGGATGGCCTGAAGTGCGGTGAATGTGGAACGGAAGGCCTGGCTGCGCCGGGAAGCGATATTCTGGGTTTCTACCAAAGTTATTACGAACTTGCCACTGAAATCGGACTCAAAAATCGCAAGGGAAGAAGCGGGGCCGCCTTCCAGCGACTATTGCGCCAGCTGGCACTTATCGAGCGTTTAAATGGCGTTGCTGAAGCCGATGTTTTCGACGAGGGCAATGATGAGCCCGAAGAGATCTCGCCCAAGAAGTACAACTGCGACAAATGCTCCAAGGAAAATGAGATTGAGGACTGTTTCCATTGCACAGAGTGCCAGCAAACAATCTGTGGGTCGTGCTGTGTGAAATTTCACAAGGCTCACGACACCCCATCGAGAGTGAAAATTGAGTTGGAGCAGCTTGGCGAAGCTACGGCGATTAGCTTGAAAGGGCTATACGAAGGTTATGCCGGAAATTTGTCCGGTTTACACCTATATACGAAAGAAGCCTTCACTTCGCTAATGGCGGCCGAAGAAATCGCAATGACGCTAATCGCAAAGCAAGAAACTTTTCAGAAAGGCAAAGAGGTTGCTGAAGAAATCAAAAAGACGGCTGAAGGGATCGAACATGAATGTGAGGGATACATCCCATTCATCCGGATCTTCAACGACAAGGTTATGGATGCAAGAGATAAGCTCGCGAAACTGTCCACTGATTTTGCTTCTGAATAAAATTTTCTCTTCACAGAACACTGTCTAACGCAGCACAACATACTAGAGAACTGCCCTAACAGCATTAAAATAACAAGAACACTGTTTTCCGCTTTACCAACCGCCTGCACGCTCTTGCAAATCACATTTCACAACCCGCGGCGCCCCTGCAAAACAATTTGCAGATAATGTGACGGCACAAAATGGGCTTATCAGCTCAAAGATCCCGCTTGAGGGTCTGCATTTCACCATCGCTTTGCAAAAGTTTTTGCTGACTGTTTTTAGCACTATTTTGCGACCGATTTCAGTCAATCCAAAATTTCTTCAAGCAAAAAATTCACCTTTGCCAGCTAATTTTCTTATAGACCTGATCTTAACTATCTGCATCATAGAATCCACTAAACTGTCACAAAGCTATCTTAGGAATTAGTTTTCTTTGCTAACTACTACTTTCATAAATATTGCCAAGTAATTTGGAACCCGTTTCCAGAGCAATGCCAAAAACTCAGTTGCCGTTTATGTTTACGAAATGCGGGACGTGCGGCAGGGCGTATGACAGCGATATCACCGCATTTTTGAGCAGTACAGGCACATTGGGATGTAGCATCTGTTTGGAGTCAAGCTCTGCAACTTCACTCAAATTCTTGAGCGATGAAATCCGCAACCAACCGGGAGTTGTCGTAGGGGAGAGAGGTTATGAGACGATCGCCAAACAACTTATACCTCTGGGCTGCCACTTCTGCGAGACGGCCCCTGAATTTCACTACGTTTTACGTTGTGGACATCGCATGTGCAAGAAGTGCACGGCTAAGAATGAAGTCTTGGAATGTCAGTTTTGCAACACCCGAGGCCTTGCTGAACCAGGAAGCTATATCCTCGCTTTTTACTGCCATTATTTCCATACTGCAAGCCAGCTAGGGGAAGGGAATTGGAAAATTGTTGCTGTAAGTAAACATTTGCCACGCATTTCGAGTCAGTTTGAAACGCTTAAAAGTCTTTATTTTGCCAACGCCGAAGGCAAAAGTCCAGCAGCTCGTCAACAAAGTGACCCGGAAAGCGCCGGACCGCAGGAGGACCCACCAACTCCTGCTAAACCGGAAAGCATCAAGGTAGCAGCTACAGAAGCGGCTACAACTGTCAGCGGATCCAGCAGTGCTGTTTGGAAGGGCGTTGCTTGGATTAAAAAGAGCTTTGGGCTTGATGGAACCGCGGCTCAAGTTGCGGAAATTCAAGTGCCGGTTCAAAGTCCGACAATCCCAGAAAAAGCTGAGGTTCCATCGGGAATTGCAACTGCCGAAATGGAGGTGGCGTGTGATGCCAAAAAATACTTCCCAGAGACTAGCGAGCTTGAACAAGAACAGAATCTGGATGCCGGAAAGTCACTAAGTGAATCGGCTGATCCAGAAAATCCTGAAGCGCTTCGCGCCGTTCAATTAACTGCGAACGACAAAAAAGACACTCAAGTCTTGGCTGAGGATCAGCAGCCGGCCAAGTTTGCTCCAAATCCAAGTCCAAAGACCGGCAAAGGTATTCTTGAGGACTCCAAAGATTCAGGAGCTAAAAAGGACGATCTCAAAGCCACGGCAGTTGAGCAAGAACCATCGAAGCTCGAGTTGTCTGCATCAGAAAAAGGTTCGCCGATTGCAGTTATCGTGCCTTCTACCCCTCTATCACCGAACATTTCGCGAAATGAAAGGCGACAACGTCAAAAGCTTGCCGAAGATCTGGCTGATAAAAAGCATGTTTTTCCAGAAACTGAGAAAGATCCTACTGCAACCGCTCCAAAGCCATCTTCACGCGTAAAAAATTCGCCACCAGAAACCCAGTCCAGAGCCACAAATTCGGCAAAGATTTCGGGTGAAGCTCCGGAAGAGACAATGTTGAAAACATATGAGGAAGCTAAAGTCAAAACGGAGTCGGCCCCAGAATCCCCGAACAGTGAGCGATTGACAAGCACTTCCGAAGGTAAATCCGAAGCCAAAACCCCTGTTTCAGATAGGCACGAGAAAACGGATGAGGTGGAGCAAAACGCCACAGATGTGCAAACCATGGACCCTTCACAGCCAAGCGCAGCTCACGAAGCTGAAGGCGATAAGGTGGTGCGGAATGAATCCGACACCGGCGCAGATTCTGAGGCTACCGATTCCGGCGATTCTTCACAATCCTCGGCAAGCTCTGAGGTTTCAGAATCTCAGGAAGTCACCGAAACGCTACCAGAAGCCTCGGAAAATCCCGTCTTGAAGGTCGTCAATCAACCGCCCTTGGAGCAGGCACAAGATTCCGCAAACATTCTGATCACGAAGCAGCAGATTGCTTGTGAAGTTGAAGAAGCGGATGAGGCATCAATGGAAGCCTTGCCGCAAATTTCGAAATTTCGCGGAGGGGCGGTGACAACTACCGATACGAAAACTAAAGAAGAAGCAAAAATGAAATGCGAAAAATGTCATCGAGAAGGTGAAGCGGAACTGTTCTTCCTTTGCAAGGATTGCGAAATAATTGTCTGTGCACTTTGCGGTATGCTAGCCCACAAAATGCATGTTACCCGGCAGCTCGCCATCGCAGACCTGGACGGCCTGGACGAAACATGGGCTAACGAACTGAAACAGTTCGATGAAAGTCTGCGCAAAGCCATCGCTGTAAAACAAGAGGACACGAAGAAGGCCATGAGATTGATCATGAGCTCAAAAGAAGATGCATTGGACTGTGTCGCCAGACAACACACTTCAGATAAATTTATGGAAGTTTTTGCCCGAGTCGAAGAGGCCTCAATACTATTTGAAACTTGTTGCAACGATCATCTGGCGGTTGAGGAAAACTTCCGCGCTCAACTGTTGACGATCAAGGCCCAACTTGATGAAATTTCCCGTGAATTTACGGCTGAATAAAATCTTTCGTCCACGAGACCCAGTAATCACGACGGAGTTTTGTATAATGGGTGAATCAAACGCAAACCTAGAAGCAAAAATGTATTTATAGTGAGGCTCCAGTTTCAATGACAATTTTACCGTAATTTTAGCTTAGGAGGGGCAAGTACGATGCGCTACTCAAAACAGCGCGATTGGGTCCTCGCGCCGCAATGATTTAGACCCTAGGGGGCCACTTGTCGCTTTCAGAAATTGGAAAAGCACCTAGTTGGCCATATTTTAGCAGTTATTAGTAACGTTGCATTACTTAGCAAAATGTGGATATTCGGTTACGGGTCGCTGATGTGGTACACCGATTTTCCGTACGAGGCGGTGCAGGGTAAGTCGAATGTTAACGATATAAAATTCTATTTCGCTATGAGGCCGTGTTTAAGTCAGTTTTTTAGGTGGTATCGTAAAAGGGTATGAAAGAAGATTTTGGCAACTTTCCCCGGATCATCGTGGGACACCAGAAAAGGCATTTTTTTATTGCGTAACCCTATCAAATGCTTTTAGCCTGGAAGAACGGTGACGTTGATTCCATCGGAAAAGGCAAGTCAGAAAGGCAAATGATAATCTTCGAAAATGTTATAAGAATTTTCCTTAACTACTAAAATTGATTTCCAGGGTAGCTGCTGGGGTTTAGCCTACAAAGTTCCGGAGGACAAAGTAAAGGAAACAATCGAATATCTGGATCACCGGGAAAAAGCTGGATATTCAGTAAGTTTTTCGGATCGATGAAGTTGTCAAAAAAACCTAGTTTAGATTGCTGATGTTGATTTTTATCCGGACTCCGGGGAAGCGCCTTTCAAGGTTTCTGTATATATTTCCCCGCAAAATGATAACGAATTCCATGCGGGACCCACCGAGATTGAGGACGTTGCTGTTCAGGTATCTAAATCACATCAATTTCATATTCGGCGAGAACATTGCTCTGTAAAAATTGGCCTTCAGAGTTTGGAATTTTTTTTCAGATAATGGAATGCCACGGGCCTTCCGGGCCCAATCTGGAGTATGCGTTGAGAGTTGCGCATGTACTACACGAAAAGGTGGGCTACCTAATTTTAGCACTGACACGTTCAGCCTACGATAAAAACCTTCAAAATTTACGGTTTATACGTCTTTATAGGCTCCACACTTCGTTGACGAGCATGTTTTTGAGCTGGAAAAGTTGTTGCTGAAGAAGGCTCGAGGTGAGGCGCTTGGGGCTTTTTCTCTCTTTTTGAAACTCTTAATGCTTCTTTAGGTTCCGGAACCGGGATTCAGATCCTTGAAAAGCTCGGGTACGTGCTCGAGGAGGACAACACGATCACGGAGGTGCACACCTTGGAAGTGAAAGAAGTTAAAGAAAAATAAGTTTTTGGAATGGTTGATATTGGATATGGCTTGCTTTACCCTTTCGATGCTTTAAGATAGCTTTCGGTACATTTAATTTTCATTACTCTCTTATCTTACTGTGCTTTCGAAATTGTGATATTATCACTGGTCGTAGCTTTTTTATGTTTTTTTTTGATAAATAACTTACTTTCATTTTTATTATGATGAGCTTTCGCGCGGAAAACCTATAGAAAACGCGTATTTTATTCAACTGCTTGGTTGCGCTTTCAAAACTAGACCCGAGAACCAGTTAAGGAAACTCACCTTCACCAATAGCAACATGTTGAAGTTTTTTTAAAGCGAAATGGTTCAGCGGACAAATCAAAATTCGCACGACTTTCACAACGTTTCTGAACCTTCGAACCCTTGTGGGACCCATCAAAATGAATGAGGGGCCCCTAAAAAACTCGTATGGCCGCGGAAATGTTCGTTTCGGCAGCCGTTTTTTGGGGGTGAGTGTCGACAGCTGTCGCTGTTTCCTGCCCTCCGGGAGGAACGTTGACAAGTGTGATCAGCCAAGGTTAAGCCGACCACCCCGCCGTGAGGGGATTCCCGGTCGCCGATTTGTTGCAATTTAGACGTACTGGCTCTAGTAGAAATCCGAGCTGGGGTTTGGCTCGGCCTTGCCATTCCAACTAGCGTTTCGAACATTTTGAATTTTAGCTTTCGGCCGCCAAAATTTTGTTTCCGATTTTGATTTTCAGTTATCATTTTTTGGCCTGGCTTGTCAGTTTCTATTTAAATTTCTCAGCACGACCATCTCCAAATGGGATTCTCGTATTTGCGCATTTCCCAATTCTCAAAGCAAATATTTGGATTGCCTGCTTGTTCGGATCGATTTTGTGAGATTGGCTCGACCTGAATAAAAGAGGCCTAAATTTTTCGGTTTAGGAAAATCTCCCTAACAGTTTCTAGCAACTTTTCGATGTTTTTTATTGATAAACTAAGGCTTTAGATTTACAAAAATTTGAAAGCAGAGTTTCCGATGAACAAGCCGAGAAAAAGTTTCTCGAATCGATACTTTTGACATTTGAGACTGTCTTAGAGTCCCTAACACTTAGTTAATTTCCGCAGCATCGCGTAGGCGATCTGGTTTTGGTTTTGGTTGTGCTGGCAATCCTTCACCCCCACCTCCCGGCGGTCAGAACATGGAGGGGCAGCAGCACGGACTTGATGCCACTTTTTATGTAGTCTTTTTGTGCAGAAAGGAGGGGCAGTCAGTGAGTGAGGAGGGGAACCCTCTCGAGATCCGCCGCCCGATCCGATATGAGCACCCGATTTGACATCTCCATTCGGCTTTCGAGCGAATTTTTGACCGCTTCGCGTGCGCATAATCGACCCCTGGCCTGGTTTCAGGTGTTTTTAGAGTAGTGGAAAGCGTAGATACTTCGGGTATTAATGCCTTTGAAGATACAGATTTTTTTTAGATTCCCTGGAAGCTTGCGGGTCTCTTTTTTGTGCCAGGCATGTCAATTAAACCACATTATCATTTAGCTTTAATCCGGAAAAAGGGCCTGGTTTCGCTTTTTTCAGCTCTGCGAGATCTCCAGCCTTTTTTACGAATTTTATCGCTAGGCGACCCGGATTTCGCCGATCACCAAGGAGCCCCATAAAAATCCCATCCGGCTTTCTCTGTCCGTTCAATAGATCTTTTAGAAAAACATTTTTCTTGGCGAATTTCGGCTTTTGGCACCCTTAGAAATTTTCTCACTACGCTTTTCATTAGTAGCCCTCAAAAAAACTTTCGCCCCGGTTCACTGCCCTACTTTTCCCGGCTGCCGAAAGGGGGCCTAACTGGTTTTTGTTCCTTTCTGGGATCTACGCCCTGCGGACAGGGGTCCGTCGTTTTTGAGCATATAAAATTCTATTGGAGAGCTTTGCAAGATTGGGCTACTTATTTCCATAGGCTCCTAGAAAAGTAGTTGCGTTTTAGCGGCCTGGCCCTGTGGTTGGATAGTTTTGAACGATTTCAATCTGGAAAATTCTTTTTCGTTATTATTTATCTAAATTTCATTTCTTTTGAATGGTCTTGCATCTGCAATCACAGTATTATTCTACTTTTGTTCGGCCGTTTTGTTTTCACATTTTCTAATTTTAGATACAACTTCCAGGGATGCCAGTTCGGGACCGGAGTCCAGGTTGGTTTCTATCTTTGTTTTACCGGTTTCCTCTAAGATCTGCTACCAAACAAAGAAAACAAACGCTTGAAACCTAAAATAAAGCGTTTTCCAGGTTTCTGAATCACGCCGTCAATTCACTCGCGAAATGTCGCGCGTTTCGGGAAAATGACTCAATTTCTCGCTCTCCCAAAAGTAGTATCCGGTGCAAATTTGTCTTGGATAACAGGGTCTAATACGTGTAGTTAGTATTTTTCAAGCCATAGTAGCTTTTTTCCGTCGACTTCTATCCCCGTAGCCATTGGTGTCACCACGGCCACCCGGAAACTCAGGAAAGCATTGAAGATTTTGGAGTGTCGCTCAGTTTTCTAAAAATTACTCAAGTTTTCTGTTAACATGAATTATAGTAAAGCTAAGTTTCCAGAAATTTTGTAACGCATGCAGAGCGGACTGTACCGACATAACGCTTTGGAGAAGGGCCGCTGATAGCAAGAAAATCCTTTGGATTACATGGGCAGCGCGGCGGGACCGAACATTTTCTTTCAAAGATACGGAACCATACGGAATCTTGGCAAAGATTTGCCTTTTTTGAAACCTACAACTTTTTGGTCCCGCTACGATCGATCATAAGCAATGGGTTGATATATATTCGGCACGAGCCGCGTGATGCCCCAAAAATGGCGTTTTTGGACCCACCGCGGCTCTTCTTTTACTTTTTCCGGGCCATCGTCTTCGTTTCTGATATTCCTGACGCAATGAGTTTTATAATTTTGCGTATGGGTCAATTCATTGATCATGCGGCGCTTTTTGGGTCTCACACAATTTTTTGGATATTAAGGTCTGATTTTGGAAATTTTTTAGGCAAGTCAAATCCCAAATTGTCTTGCCTGCCAGCTATTTTTTGATGCAATAAATTTGCCGCTGCCGCGTGACAATTCCTCCACGCCGTTGGGATAGATAACAGAAATGCCCACGGCCCTAAAAACCCCGGGGCAGGCGACCCCTCGCTCGCCCGTATCGGGCAAAATTTCCGTGCTCAAATATCGTGCCCCGCGCCGTTCTCTTTCCCCCATTCGTTTATTCTTTCGGCGTACAGTTTCGTACTATTTCTTGCTTGTTGTCTCTGTTTCTCTCGATAGGGATGCTCTCTCGCCCCATTCCTATGCCCCGTCACCCCCGCGGGTTCACTAGAGGGGAGCCACTTGGGGAAGGGCCGCGATAAACCGCTTGCCACTTATTCTTTTCGCTACGTTTATTGACTATCGGCATTTTGAATCGCCAGACTTGCTGGCAAGGAAATTGTAACGCTTTAAGGTGATTTGTTTATCGAATTTTCCAGGCGTTTTAAGTTGCTTTCAGCTCCGTTTTCCCCCATAAAAATTTGGGAATTAGGGCACTGCGTATAACGGACAGCAGCAAGTACATAATATTGCAAATAATAATTAGATAGTTTCGAGTTTATTTGTCGATTCAAAATTGATCTTTTAAAGCCGAAAACCTCATATTTTATTGCAATATTTTACGCTTTTTTCTTTTGAAAGTGTTAAACCAGGCGATTTTGGTTTTTTAGGTTTACCCTACTTTGGCTGTAGTTTCCTATTTTTTCGCCCCTCTCTGTCCGTTAAACGTTTCCGTACTAACCCGTTGAGATATGGCGCATTTTAAGAAATTTACGAGCGGCTTAATGGGATGCTCAGGCTCGATTCTTTTTCGGAAAAGCGAGAGCAAACCCAGCTCTTGCTTGCCTAAAACTTTAAAGTCTAATCGTGGCTTTAACAAACTAGGAATTTCAGGCCTTTAGATACCTATTAAGTGCAAAACTTTCCTTTCCAGACGTCGACGATTTCCTTGTGAAAAACAAGGGTATCTTGTTGAACCTCATCGAGAAGGCATTGACAAAGAAAATGGGAGCGGGAAATGAGGTGAATCCAATACTTCTCGCAGTTTTAATTCATCGACCCTTCAAATTTATACATTTCAGCAATTCTCAATTCCCAACACTATATCAAAAACCCAATTGCACGCAAGAGTTGCGACAAGTTGAATCATAAAAGAACCCGAAAGTGAGGTCAAGCTGAATCAAGTGGAAGCGGAAAAGAATCCGGAATTTATACAAATGTCAGCGAGAAATCGGGAAATTTACAAATCAATTAGCCGGAAAATCGGATGAATTGGAATAGGTTCATCTTTCTTCCTTTAGTCTTCTAAAGGGATGGTAAGGATGAAAAAAAAAATCGAAATTTTGGCTTGACTTTACCATCCCTTTCTTCAATCCAAAATTGAGTACGATACTAACCGTTTTTCCTGATTTGTCGTGTAAATGGCTGGGCCATTAAATAACCCAAAATCGATGAGATATTTAATTGGAATTAAATACGTTTCAAGGTCGAATCGTCGCCGCGAAGCACGCGCAGCCGGTCCCAGTCTGTTCCGAGAAAGTCGGTTTTTTTCTGAGACTAATATTTTTCCGGTTTTGCGTATTTACATCACATAAATTTAGGCGTGAGAAGAGTGCGAGGTAAGGTTTTTCCATACCGTTTACTTGCACGTTGGGTCCCTGGGCTTACTATAAAGTCGATGTCTTGATAATCCAAAGAAATTTCAGGATCTCGGAACGATCCCCATCCAGAAGTCCACCTCGTAGGAGGAAGGACCGAAGACGGTCGCGCACGAGGAGCCGCACCAGGTCGAGAAGGTGGGGAGAAAAGATACTGAAAAAACGAATTATAGTATTTATCCAGCAAGTCAGAAATCAGTATAAATCCGTATTACAAAATTATTTAGCCGTACCTACTCGCCTCTTCCGCGCGGGCGTGGAGAACGTGAATATTACAGCGGCCGGGATTATGGACGTCAGCGATACAGGTGATCGCTCCCCCCTCTCTCTCTCTCGCTCTCTCTCGCTCTTCCTCTCTCTCATTCTCTCACTTTCTCTACTTTCTTTTTCTTCGTTATTTTCCTCCGCTGCTTCAGAGACGGCCGCGATCGCCCGGAGCCCAATCGATGCATCGGAATTTTCGGAATGAGCTTGAACACTAATGAGAGGGACTTGGAGAACATCTTTTCGGAGTTTGGCACCATTGATCAGGTTTTGAAATTGTGACGCTACAAAAATAATCGTTTTGTTTCAGGTGCTTATTGTCAAAAACAGAGACACCGGCCGTTCCCGCGGGTTTGGATTCATTTATTTCACCAGGACCAAGTATGCGATGAAGGTGGGTCTCTAGGTGACTGGAGAGAGAAAGAAAGAGAGAGAGAGTGATAGAGAGAGAGAGAGAGGGAGAGAGTGACTGCATCAAAGTTTTATTTTTCAGGCTAGAGATGAAATGGCTGATGCCACAATTGACGGCATGAAAGTTCGGGTGGATTTTTCTGTAACTGAAAAGAATGGCGGAGGTGGAGGAGGGAGGTCAGTGTTATCCCTCTATAACGTTTTAAAATTCGACTAAAATAGTACATTCTGATTTCAGGAGATACTGAATAACTTGAAAACCTCCTGCGCGATTTTATCGTCCGAAAATCAGATGCCTTGCCGTCGTCACAAGCGTTTAACAAGTCAATTTTTGCTTTGCTTTTGGTATTAAAATTTTGGTCACTGGATGTCCTGTCAAAGCTTTATTGTTTTCTTAACGATATCAGCAATACTTTTATCATGCCAAGATTTGCCTTCCTGGTCCTTTTAATGTGTATTTGTGTTGCTTTCTGATCGAATTTTGGGTAGATTGGCTTCGTGGTTTGCACCCTATTGTGATCTTCAGTCTTCAAAGTTGAATCGCTACCGGTTCCGCTTTGTGAATAAAATATTGAGCTCGATTTGCACCACCTTAAAGGCACTTACAGCGACGTCGAGGCAAAAAGAAAAGCCGTAACAATGCGATAGCGAGAGAGAGAGAGAGAGAGAGAGAGAGAGAGAGAGAGAGAGAGTGAGTGAGAGAAAGAAGAAGAGAGAGAGAGAGCTTGGCATCGAGAGAAAGAATGACAGAGCGAGAGCGAGAAACGGCGGTTGCGCGAAAGGGAGAGCGAGAGAGCCAGAGAGAGAGAGAGAGAGAGAGAGAGAGAGAGAGAGAGAGAGAGAGAGAGAGTGAGAGAGTGACAGCGACCGAGAGAGAATGAAAATGACCTCAACATTATCAGGGGGCCCCACCGATCGGCACTGCTACCAATGCGCCCACTACGGCTGGCTGGAGCTGGCCGCAAGACAGGTCTGTGCTTTTCGACGACCGAATAACCACATTCTCAGGTCCGTTGCGAGCTGAACTATCGATTTCCGATCCCAAAGCCCGGCACACCACAACACGAACGGACGGTTGTCTGCCAATTGAAAAATTATATTCGTTAATTTAGGGATCAACCCCCGCCCCTTATGGCGACGAGCATCTCCAGATCGACGACATGCGCTTCCTGCTACTACCGGAAGGGCCCTACTATTCGAGGTTTTTCAGCGAGATCCGACAGTGGAAAGCCTACTGGGAAATGTAGCGGCTTTAAGGTGCAAAAACAATTGTTTTTGTCAGTGAGATGGAAGAAGGACGGACGACGCTAGAAGAAGCCTACCAGCCCTTTTGCCATAGCCCCGACTGCCTGGATAATTGTCTACCGGAGACCGACTACAGAATGTATCTTGTGCATGTGGGTGCTGGTTGGCTAGATGGGGGTATTTTGGAAAGACCGTTTTCAGATTTATACATAGAATAGAACCTTACACTCGCTTTACGCACACAATTACACAGACACACCAAAAAGATGATACCAAACACCAGATTTTCCAAAAATCCAAAATCAAAAATACCTTAATTTTTCCGTAGATAGTTAAGGCAACGTAATGGTTTTTTAGATGATACTTTTTGGACAATTCTTGAGGTCCAAAAGCTGTCCAAGTTTTGACATCCTCATAGAGAAGCCAAATTTGGCCGAAATCGATAGTTTATGTATTTTTTAGCGTTTAAGCATGGTAAAAATCACTTGAGCAACATGTTTTCTAGTTAACTATCGAAAATTGAATTCAAAGGAAAACGGAAAATCAAGCTCCTCCTCCGGCATCTAGACTCGAAATTCCAGCCCTGCCCAAGGTGCCTACCTAATACCTACAGGAACGTCAACGGCTATTGTGTCAAGACTTGCCCAAAGTAGGCTGCGGGTCTGGTCTAAAGTTTTTTGACGCTCTAGTGGAACCTATGCGTCAACTGAGACTCGTCGGCCATCGTGCCTACCCTGCCTACATCCACATCTATGCTCACAATGTGCGCGGGTAGGTCGCTCTCACAGACGCTCACTCTCTCTCTCTCTCTCTCTCTCTCTCTCTCTCTTTCTTGCTCCACTCTCTCTCTTTTGCTGCAAGCCTCATCAGAATTTTTAGCTCTCCGAAAACGAGGACGCAGTTTCTCCGGAAGCACCGTATACACACAGCCGAGCCGAGGAATTGGAAGGTCCATAAATTCCGAAAAGTGCCGAATTTACACCATTTTCAGACCCATCGCTGATGCGGATGGTGTGCACGGAGAAGGCCAACCAATCGAAGGCTGTGATTTGTATGGAAGGGTTGGTATTTACTGCTTCCCTCTCTCTCTCTCTCTCTCTCTCTCTCTCTCTCTCTCTCTCTCTCTCTCGCTGAAACTCAATGCATGAATTCAGAATCCAATACATGGACGCCGGCGGAAACTGCCACCTCTGCCATCCGGAATGTGAAGGGTGCTACGGACCGAGTGCGAGCCAGTGCATGAAGTGCCGAAATTTTATGGATACCTGGAAGGTAGGAAAATCAGTAAATGTTTCCCTCTCCTCTCTCTCTCTCTTTCTCTCTCTCGCTCTGTCTCTATTACCCCATTTCCAGCGCTGCGTTTCGCGATGTCCACCGGGCTTACAACCCGTCGAACTCCGACGCAACGAGCTCTTCTGCCACTTCAGACCCCCGCAAATTCCTTCGGAAACTTATGGTAAATACAGTATGATTTTTACCACGGTTTTTATTCAGAAATTGAGATTCACCCAGCGCTACAGCGGCATTTCGAAGAACAAGGCCGACATCACGATGCTGGGCCACTTGCTCCTCTACGTGGCACTTCAATTTTTGTCGAGCATAGGTAGGACTTGGCGGCTCACTTCCTCAAATGGTTTCTGCTAGCACCCTCTACGTTCAATCACGTTTTGGGGGTCAAAGGCCGCAAAAACTATGCAACACTGAAGATGATACGCTACGGGGTTTTCTGGGTCGTTTCAAACTAGAAATACCCCTAAGCCCCCCCCCACGCGCTAAAAGTGCAGTACCAGATACCTCGGCTCCATTTACAAACGGTCTCTGCTAGCTTGTCACGACCTGCCATTAATGCGCACATTTCCAGCCGCCCTACTCTTCTCCGGCCCGGACAACGCCGAGCTGATCCCGTGGAACAAGGAGCAGTTCGTCAAAATTTACGTTTCTGCAATCTCGATCTTTAGCCAAATCCGCGCCCAAACCGCCCAAACGGCCAAAGCCCGTTTTCTGGCCCGAAGACGTGCACGATCCCGCGAGAACCTCAGCAGCGCGTCGAGCATGAAGAGCTCATCAATTGCTGATAAATTTCGTAGGGATTATTGCCGTAAACAGCTACGTTGGGTAATTTCTAGCTGCTGAAGTGACGGCGACGCGCAACCCAATGGCGACCAAGCGGCGTGTGATTATACGCAAAATTGTAGGTTTAAGGAAATGGGCTCGATTTTCGTGGTTTTAGCGACGTCCAAGAGGAAAAGCTACCGAAACGTGGCCAGGAGGCAGCCGTCGTTTGACTTGAGATCAGGTTGGCTTTTTCTCTTCCGCTCTCTCTCCCTCTCTCTCCCTCTCTCTCTCTCTCTCTGCCCCGCTAACCCTTCTCTTTTAGCCGCCAGCTCGACCCAACTCTCGGCCGCCGTCGCCCCCACCCAAGAAGAAGGCGCCCCCGGACCCAAACATCGTCGAAAAAACAAGTCCAAGGAGCCGACCAAGGGCAAGCTGACAAAAAACATGAAGAGGAGAACGAAGAAGATGTCCCAAGAAGCCGTCTCCCTGGCCGCCACCTCGCTTACCGTAGTCTCCCAGCAGCAACCCCGCGCCTCCAGCCTTTTCCACGCCCTCGGCCGTCCCTCCAACCGCCACCCCGGAGCCGTCGAAGAAGGGACGAGGCGACTCGGCGCCCTCGGCGGCGAGGGATAGTATTCTGGACGATACGCCGCTGGTTGGTACAGTTATTTTCGCTGAACTTGTTCAAGGTTCAACCTTTATTCGTCTATTTTCAGTCCTCCCACCTCGACACGACGCAAAGGCCCGGCCGCCGCTCACCGCAAGTCACCCAGGCCCTGCTTCCTCAGCCAGCCGCTCCGGCTCCGCTTCAACCTTCTCGACCTCAATCCCCGCGCCAACTTCCGCCTCTCCCTCGTCTCCCATCTACCGCTGGCGTTGCCGTGACGCAGCCTACGGCGCGACGCCTACGATCTAGCGGCCGTGTGAGCAAGGAGCAGACGGGAAAGGTGGGTGGATTCCAGGTCTTCCCAGATTTTTTGACTCGCACTATAGGTGAGGAACATCAAACTTTCATTTCAGAAAACAAAATCGCCGGCCGCTTCACGGGCCAACCGCCAGCACCTCAGCCCCAAGCAGGTCACCCAGCAGGAGTCGAAGTACACGCCGGTCGTGCCGTCGGATAGTGGAAGGGGCCGGGATGGAAATGTGAGTTCCGGATGTAGCTTAGGCTTACAAGGTTTTGATAGACTTCAGTGAAAACGAGATTGCAACTGCTATCGCGCAAATTACCTTCCAAAATTCCTTAATTTCAGTCAAACCCCGAGCAGCCGCCGAAGCAGCACTGAGCATCTACCGTCGAGCAAAATTTCAACACACCCTCGCCACCCTCCGCCGCCCTCGCCAACCACCACTTACATTATCACATCCCGATTTGTCTGTGAATTTCCTCTTTGTTCGGAATCTCATGTTCGCGTTAACTGTCTTGTTTTGAACCGAATCGCGTGAGGTGATATGAATAAATGGGTGATGTCAAGGAGGATTTCTGAAGCGCGATGCAGTTAAAAAAATAAACAAAAGGAAGCAGAATCGGCTTGCTTGCTAAATTCTTCTTAATTAATTAAATTTAGAGTGTTTTTACATTATTTTTCGGCAAATTTTCGCCGTATTTATTGCGATAGTCAGACAACCATCGAAGTTTGTAGTACCCTAAATTTGTGCAAAAAAACATACTCTGATAAGCGTTGAAAGGTATAAAATGGAATAGTTCGTGTTCTCCTCGAGATTACACGCCCGAAAAGCGATCATCTACAAAAATCTTGGTCACTATTCGCGCATTTTTTTTGGGACCTGAACCCGCCCGACTTTTGAAGAGTCACGAACCGGTCCCACCTGTGTCATCTCCACTGTTTTGTTTGATTGCTTTTCTGGGGCCACACGGGGCTGAGTCAACCCTTTCAGGCTGCTCGTCATTTCCCGGACCAAATTCCTTTCCCAAAATTCGGGCGTAAAATCTATCCAAAAATCGTTGATGCGGTATCTGGCCTCCTTGATTTTCTCCTTACCCTTCCTACTTTCATTATCGAGCGCCGAGTGCGGGTGGTTGCCATTCAGCAAGTGTCTGTACATATCGCTACACATTACGAATTCGAGTTATGAAGCTGAACATGAGAGGGTTACGGTAGGCTTAGCTTTTTCTTGTTTGTTGTTTTTTTTTTTGCTTTTATCGACGTTTCTGTGTGCCACCTTTTAGCGAGCAATTTTGCTGTCGATATCCTTCTAATCTCTTAAGTCCTTTCTCCCTAAGTCCTAATTGGAAAATTCCTTAAGTACTAATTGGAAAAAAACCATCAACAAAATCAGCATACGAAATGCAAAAATTTATTAAATTTTACCATCGTTTTCTCTCTCAAAATCTTGGATTTAAAGTGTGACCGAAAGTAGGAAATCTCGAATATTTAATTTTGCTATTGCTTTTCCTTTAAAACAGTTAAATTAGCTTCAGGGAACCCTTAGGAAATCAGAATCCACAGACTCATAGTTTCAACCGATTATTTTAAAAAATTTAGGGGGACGAGAAATACCTAGTCCACCTCAAAGAAAACGACACATTCCACAACGATGATATCGGCTCGGAAGGGGGGAATATGTACGGTAATCGGCAGATCGTTTATATAGAGCCATTTTTATAGACGGCTCTTCTCTTCTGATAGCCTCTAGTGATGTCTATGAATCGCTATATAACGATTTCTACTTTAAGTTTTATTTGTATGCAAATTATACGATTGGCGTAAGTAGTGTCATTGCGTTTTCTCTTGAAAAATGTGTTTTTAGGAAAACAATATGCGATGCCTAAAATTTGGGCGCCAGTGGGCTTATGGTCCAGCTAAGAAAGGTAGGTAGTATTGAAAGTTATAAAGAGTTACAAAAAAGAAAATTTTTAAGTAGCCTCGGCCTCGATCGGCTATACTTCAAACTCGGCGCGAATTGTTAAAATTAAAGATACAACGGATTTGGTATTTTTTTAGAGATCACTGGCCAATTCCATGTTTTCCCAAATTCCCCATTTTGCCGCCTTGATTTTTCGTTGGTTGAAGATGGGAAATCAACCACGGGCCATTCCATGGAATGTGATTCGTGTTGCCTCTACGAGCATTGTGGCAGCGATGGAATTCCGAAGACTGATTGATCCTTATTCAGAAGAAATTCTATGTAATAAAATGTGTTTCTACACAATCAGTCGAGACAAATTATTCGAAAAATGGTCTGTGAAAATCTGACATCCACACGGCGAGCAGAATGTTCATGAATTTTCGCGCATTCGAGAAAACGTTTTTACTAAAGAAAGTGACGATTCCAAAATTTTGAGGCGGACAACGTGTACGATTTTTACAATTTATGGTTTTCGGCGCCACCGGCCAGGATTTACGCACGCATAAACTTCGGGAATGTTCGTTTCCGGGGGCGGGTTTTATGCAAATGCGGCCCTTTTCGTAAGGTAAAAAAATATTTAAAGGCGCAAATGTTTTGGACGCATCATCCACGGATTATGGTGATGCTCGTTCAAATTCTATTCTTCACGCTGGCCACCGTTAATACAGTCGCTGCGGAGAAGAAATATTGCGGGGTTATCGGGGGTTCCGTTCTGTGCTGGCATGTGGACGTCGTGCTGAACGCTTCGTACCCAGATGACCATGAGCCGTACGCGGTAGGTGGTCAACGGGAGTGCAAATCAAAATTAGAATGCTTGAGATCGGATCGAAAAGTAAAAAACCAGTAAATACTGCCGAAGAGTACCAGAAAAAAACGTTTCGTTGTCAAAAACATAAAATCGTCGATGCGGATTATACTGTTTCAATAAATAACCTAACCTAACAACCTATAATAAATACGGTACTGGAAATCCGCTTTTTATAGCTAAATCACTCGTTTTCATAGCATTTACGCTGTTTTTATGTACAAACGTTTACAAAAATTAAATAGTTTTTAAAATTTTTCGATTTTTTTTTGCTGAAATCAACCGAAAAAATTACCAAGAAGATCAACGTTTTCGGATTTTCAAAATTTTTGTAAATATATTTGTAACTTTCCAGGAATCAAAAACTAATAAAAACATACGAATACAGAATTTATTATTAACGGGACATCATGAAAAAAAAACAAAAATTAGTTTGCTTTTTCTTGCAGAAACACCCCGCCCCGCTGCTACCACTCAAGTAACAATTTTTCTTCAGGGTGACGCCTTTTATAAGGTGCAGGTCAACAAACGTCATTGGTTGGAGAATAGGCACTACGAGAGCTGCACGGCCAGGATGTACGGTGAGTACAAAGCAGGCGTACGGTATGACTAACGGTAAGAATTTATTTTACCCCCTCCCTCCGCCCCCGCCCCACAGCCGAAAAGTCTCAAAGTTTTCGGTGTTTTCGCTTATTTTGTCCGGAGTTTTGCAAAACCAATCGATAGAGCATCGAAAAACATACTAAAAGTCTTAATTTGAGCCTACAATAATGTAAAATAAAAAAGTTATAGCCAAAACATTCCGGCTGGGGGGTACATTAAAGGATAGCTTGACTAACCTGCGCCTCCCACCCGCGCGCCACCTGGCTCACTATGCCCCCGCCCCAACTGCATAATTAAGCCGTATTACAAAAATCGACTCTTTCCCCTTAAATGTCGTTTTTGAGTTCTGTTTTTGATAATTTTCGACTCGGAGGGTCGATTGGCTTATAAAACTCCCTCAAGAAAAGCTGCGCTTTGACCAAACTCTCGCTTCCCCAGGAGACCTTGATTTTAGGGACTGCCCCATGTATATTGCACGGCACCGACGCCCACGACCCCGCCGACGATCAGTTCTACCTGAAATTCTATCTAAGAGCCAAATATACTCAGGGGGTGGTGTGCTGTGCTCGTTCGAATACCGATGGTTTCAGGCTAACCAATTCCGCTGCGTGCACTTCCACGACCCGCTTCATTTTGGCGCTGATCTGAGGGCAAGTGCGTGGTCAAACGCTTTTACTTTTCTCCCGTCTTTTCCGTGGACGGGAAAGACGCGGATTTTTCAGGCTGTGCAAGATGTTCTTATGAAATCTTGGGAAATCTATCCATAGTTTCAACCGTATTTTTATGCCAGAAAATTTTTTATGTCATACTTTTTCGTACAGAAAATATCTCGCTTGTACTACTTTTTAATTTTTGTCGATTGACGTTTCCAAAAAATTTAAAACCTCAAAAAATTGCCTTCCCCATTCTATTTTGCGCTTGGGCTCAGGCTTGGGCTAAGGCTTAGGCTCAGGCTTAGGCTTACGGTCTGCTTCGGCCTAGCCTATGCTTAGGCTTGGGCTTGGGTCGGCTTACAAGGAGACGTTTTTTGGTGTGAATGGAGTTCTGAGTGGAAACCAGGCCTATTTTGTGCAGAATTTTGCGCTGATTCCGAATATCTTTTCCATTTCTGCTAAATAGCTCGATTTCAAAAGTTATAGCAATTTTAAGATCATTTTAGCCCAAATTTTCCCCTCTTTAGGGACCATTATATTGCTTTTCCTGGCTGTTGTTCCAAATATAAATATCGTCACCGTATTCAGAAAAATTTTCTCTATCGAATGAGCTATTTAACTCAAAATTGTTGAAAATCGAAAAAATCGACGATACTTGGTATGGACTGCGATTTTTGTATGGGAAATGGTGAAAAACAGACTATTTCTCACCCCTGTAAGCCATCGTCGATCGGCAGTAGCGCACTAATCAAATATACCATTCGAATCAAAAAAAAAATTTTCTACAAGATAGGCTACTTAAAATAAATTAGAACATTATAACAAAAAAGTAGCACAGCATAGCATATGGCTACTCTGGGCCTAAAAATTATCTTAAAATAGCTGTAACTTTTTAAATCGGGCTATTTAGCAAAATTGGAAAACAGCATCGGAATCAGGGCAAAATTCTGCACAGAATAGGCCTGGTTTCAACTTAAAACTCCATTCACACTAAAAAAACGTCTCCTTGTTAGGCTTAGGCTTGGGTTTAGGCTTAGCTTAAGATTAGGCTTATCCTAGGCTTAGGCTTGGTTTGGGCATAGGCTTTGGCTTAGCTTCGGGTTAGTTTAGGTTTATTACGCTGCCGCTTAGGCTTACAAGGAGTGCTTTTTTGAGTCATTGGCAAAGCCTTACGAGAACTCATTCGATAGAGAATTCGATTCTGAACAAGATCCCGTTGTTCTTTTTGCGGAATGGCTACCTATCTATTTTATAAAATCTTAAAACTGCACCCAAAAGCCTCTCTTTTTGCTCAAAAGCACTCATGGTAAGGGACAGTCACTAGTATTTTAATTTCATAAAATCAGGGATAGCCATTCCGCAAAAAAGGACAACGGACTCTTGCTCAGAATTTAATTCTCTATCGAATGAGCTAGGTCTCGTAAGGTTTTGCCGATAACTCATTAAAAGCACTCCTTGTTAGGCTTAGGCTAGGCCCCAAAAAAACTGATTTATCCCGGTATCATCACAATCTTTAGCACGTTTTCGGATTTTCAGACATTACCGGCAGCCTTCACGTATTTCCCGAGCATCCGTTCTGCCGCTTCGACTTCCAGCTGACCGGCGGCGACAAAAAAGACGTCGGGCACGAAGCTGTGCGAGTCGTGCTGCGTCTGGGAAGTTTGCAGCTTTGGTGACATTCCGAATGTCGACCTCAAACTTTAAAGCTTTTGCTCTACGCTTATCTCAAAGCCAGCCGCCTTTATTTTGCCTGATTTTTATTGTGTTTTTTAAAGTAATACGAAATAAAGGAATTGTTTATAGCTGGTCGTCCGATTTGCTGTAAAAAATATAAACCACCAATAATCAATAACATTTAATGACAAGAATGAATAAGAAAGTAAAATGACATAAAGAGAAAGATAAAATTCTGATGAATTTCGGTCAACGCAGCAAAGCAATAAAACCTTCAATAAATTTTCTTGAGCCGTAAATACTCATGAAAAGCCGTGGCCTGCTTTATCTTCGCTTTTACGCTAAAACACAGTTTTTGGTCTTGCTCAGCTATTCCGTCTACAAAATGCTCCCCAGCTTTCTATGGTTTATGTTAGCCGTATTTGCGCAAAATTTGGAGGCCGGATTTAATTGTGGGGAAAGTTGGATTCCGCTTCTTCCCGAGACACCTTGCTATGAGGTTGATATCAATATTACTAGCGCTTCTTACGAGAAAGGACACGAGCCGTTTGAGGTCCGTAAATAAATAACTTATTTAAATATTTTCCAGCAGAAAAGTTAGCTTAAAATCACTGAATTTTAGGGCGACGCCGACTACACGGTCCAATTCAACAAGCACAACGCGGTGAAGAATGCTCGATTCGTGCTGCAATGGGAAGATGTACGGTGCGTACAATTGGCTTTTTTTATGCTAATTTACCGTGGAATAACTGATTTATAGGAAACCAGCCGCTTACAGCGGCTTTGCCGCTGCAAGCGGCTGGATTTCGGGCTACCCCTTCCGCTCCCTCCCCCTCCCTTTGTGATGGCTTTCGATACTTTAAAGGGTTTAAATAATGATGTGATCGATCCGATGTACTACTCGTTACTGGCCAATATGAGCTACAACTCGACGTACGATGAGGAGATGAAAGGTTTTTCAAAAACTGCTCGAAATCTACCGCAAGCTCTTGTTAAAGATCCAACGCTAAAGCGAGTACAGTGTCTCGCGAAGGACCGGAGTCATTTTGGGTACCAGTGCATTGACAAGTAGGTTTTCTTCAATAGCGCTCTCTCTCCCTCTCTCTGTCTCTCTCTCTCTCTTTCTCTCTCTCTCTAGTGCTCTGTCTCCCCAGAATTCCCTGATTTTCCAGTTTCCAATTCATCGATGTCTCCGGCTACTGCCGCTCTTGCCACCCAGAATGCCTAGGATGCGTCGGCTCCAGCGCGAACCAGTGCAAGAAGTGTCGTCATGTGATGGACATTAGTGGCGTAAGAGGTGGAGCCCTACGGAATTTCTTCCGTTTCAGTACTGCGTCAAGGAATGCCGTCCCGGCTATGTGACCAAGGAGCTGGTGGTCGGCTGGCACTTTTGCACCCAGCCATACGATGAGTTCCGGAAGGATCGCTACAACTTTTCGGTGGGTAAGAGAGAGAGAGTGAGTGAGAGAGAGAGAGAGAGGGAGAGGGGGAGAGAGAGAGAGAGAGGGGGAGTGAGAAGAGACAGATCGAGGCTCGAAAATCATTGATTTAGTCGAACTCGTTCCACCGGCTGTACGACGAGGGGTCGCTGCTACAGCAGTCGCTGATGTGGTCGCTCTCCGTCCTGCTGATCATCATCTACCTCATCGTGCATTTAATGGGCGTGATTGGTCCGTAATTGCTGTTCCTAACTGCTTGGCGACGTCGCTTCTTGTTTTACTACTTCTGGCTTATTTTACCGGGTTTTTGCACCATTATTTTTCAGTAACCTGGCACTGTCCCAGCGGCGACGAGACCGAGCTGATCGTGTGGCGGGAGGAGAGGTACTTGTTCCGGAACGCTTTCCTTGTTGTCCGGCTTCAAATTCGTGAAACCGGCTCAATGTTTTAGCTTTGTCCGCTGGCAGTCGAACCTGGCCATGGAGGGTACGGTAGCCCGACGTACGAGTGTCCTGCGCCTCCGTCGACGGCAAAGCCCAACAGCAAGTAATTTTTCCGACTTTTTCTCGGACTTTGGGCGACTAGTATCCAGAAAAACGCGATCATTTTAGCTAACGACTCCGGGGCGGCCAAGCAGCGCAACCCACTGCAAGACACCAAGATGTTCATCCGCAGAAACGTGGGGCAGATACCGTAGGCGGAAAATTCGACCACTTTTTTAGCCCCGGCGTCGAGTGGTGAAGCGCGTCCCGAAGAAAGAGCTGCCGGTCGATGAATCCCAGTCTTCAAGTTGGTTCTAAGATTTTTCTAGGCTTTTTTCACCTACGTAGCGGATCTTGGACCTCATCCCAAAAACCTTACGATTCATACCAAAAACCTTGAGCAATTCAGAAAGCCCCCTTGCCGTGTGCGCGACGCAGCCCAGCTTCATCCTACCGCCAGCCACAACCCCGCGGCCCGACGACATGTTGGATCCCGAGGCAACCCTCCCCGAAATGCTCTTTTCCCTGGGCGTTGACGTCACCGAAAAGACCATGGTAAGAGGCCAGGAAAATTACTAATTTTTCCTTTCACCAGTCGCCCCAAAGCGTGGCCACCCAGGACAAGCAGCAGAAGCTCAGCAACCGGCCCGTCGTCGACAAGACTCAACGCGGGCACAGGCGTCGCGGCTCGCGGGCGAATAGCATGTCTGGGAAGAGTGCCAAGGTGAGGCTGATGATGCAGTTGTGTAACGTTTTTGTATCCAGGCACGCTCCGGGAAGACGGGCGGCAGTGGGAGGAAGGCGCGCTCACTACAGAAGCCGGCAAAGATCAGGGCCAAGGGCTCGACCTCGAGTCGACCATCAGCCGGCAGCCAGAGTCTTGCGGATAAGGTAAAAAACGCAAAATCCAACAATTATTTTCGTCTTGCAGGGCTCGACGATCCCGTCGTTGAACACCGACCGTGAGCTGGCATTGCCGCCGGGGGCGAGCGGCAAGACGAGGGTAAGGACAATTTTTGTTTTCTCGCGCTTCCTTCACTCTCACTCTTGTTCTCTCACTCTCTCTCTCGCTCTCCTCTCTCTCTCTCTCGCTTTCTCTCAGTCGCTCTCTCGTCCTTTCATGCTCTCGTATACTCTCCCTCGCACGCTGACTACTCAATTTCTGCTTTTTTCAGAAAGTTTCATCCCGTACGCAACGCTTCACCGAACGTGAGGTCGAGCCGAAGAAACTGGGAGCCAGCGGACGCCAAAGGGTACATTTTATTTCCTTTCTTCTCCTTCTCTCACTCTCTCTCTCTTTCTGTCGCTTTCTCTCTCTCTCTCTCTCTCTCTCTCTCTTTCTGTCGCTTTCCCTCTCTCTCTGTCTCTCGCTCTTTCTCTCTCAATATCGCTACATTTCCAGTCTCGCCCCTCCACCTCACCCGGCCGTTCCGGCAAGTCTGGCAACTCGGGCCGTCGCCGCCAGAAGTGAAGCCCCGCCCATCTGATGACCCCGCCAAACCCGCTGAAATCTCCCACCTCGCAAAGACCTCTGATTATTTGAAAAGTGTTCGTCAATCATTGCTTTTGTACAAATGCATCGCGTCGTCTTGTATCACCGTATCCTTTCTGCGACTGGATAAAGTGATTTTAAGCTCGGATCCTAACACATGTCACACTTGCATCGGAAAGACAGGATCATGGAAAAAATAAGCGACTTTGATGCAGGCTAAATGGGCCAGGAAGTCTGGTCCAAGCCCTTTGCCGTTGATTCCTGGCAAATAGCCATATGACGCCGCAACGTGACCGCGCCGCTTGGATTTGCCAGCTTCAGCCGCAACAATTCGGATTGCGCGTTGGGTAGCCGTGGATTTGGGTTTGAATTTCATTACCGCAATTTGCATATCGAATGGAATCAGCTTCCTTCCTACCTAAAATCCGTTACTTCCCCTTTCGTCCAATTCTATCAGCTAGCCATCTGCCTACTCTGATGTCCTCCATCTTGCTGCTATTCCTCTTCATCCCGGCAGCCATCGCCGCCGATAAGGCGAGCCAAAAATTGAAAGAATATGCAAGAAATTTCAGCACTTCCACGAAAGCCACTGCACCCTCGATCTTTGCAAGCTGCAGCCACAGTAATTTCGTGGCGTAATCGAATTTCTGATGTCTTTAGCTACGTCGACGCGGTGCTGGACCGTCTATGCGTGACGCCGGAAGACCCTACAAACTTCAACTTTGCTTTCGCGTAGGTTGCAGCTGGGAGAAAAGGAGTGTAGTAGGAGAGAGCGAGAGAGAGAGAGAGAGAGAGAGAGAGAGAGTGAGAGAGAATGTTACTGTCTTTTCAGTGGTTATCGCTTCCCGCTGCACAAAACGTACGTGAACGGTAGCCGATATCGCTCCGACCTGATGGTCTGCCATGACCCCGTGGACCCAGAAGAGCACGAGATTGTACGTCAAATGACGCATTGATTTTACTTATCCACGTAGAGAGACCACGAATGGATGGGCCGGAATTGCGAGACGTACGTCGAGGAATGGGGATGCGTGGAGTGTCCGTTTGGAATGGCGCCCGTTGTTCAGGCCGGGTAGAGTTTTCTTATGAAAACGGGGGTAAGTAGAGAGTGAGACATGGGGAGCGGGAGAGTGCGGAGCGAGCGAGAGAGCGGGAGAGTGCGGAGCGAGAGAGAGAGAGAGGAGAGAGGGAGACAAATAGAGTTTTCTCATCTTCGTTCGCGAATGAGCCTACCTACTTCCAGCAGAGCTCGATTCGAAACATGCGCTCTGGGGTCCTTGGCCCCCGCTGACATTCCCTCATCCTATGAAACCGCCTTGGAGGCTGCCGATCTGCCATTCAACATCTATTGTGACGAGTGGGCTACAGGAAAGGCGGAAACGGAACCCTTGACTGTTCAGAGGCTTCTTCCGTGCCGGCGACTTTGGCGAGGAAACCTCCGTCGAAGTGCGGCGTTGCCCAAGGGACAATTGTCGTTTGTGCCCCGGGTGGAAGGGAACGGTGCGTTGGAATCTGCTTACTATCTTCACAAGTCTCAGCCCAAGCCTAAGCCGAGGCCTAAGCCTAAGCCTGCGAAAAATCGTTCT